ACCTGGTCTCCTTACATTCAGCCACTCTTTTATCATCTCCTCAATGAGGTGGTCTCAAAAGTCGCAGTTGTAACACACATAAGGCGCACCGCACCAAAGGGCGCACCGCACATTTTGAGGGGAAAAAAAGACGTTTATGTGCGCCTTATAGTCGTGAAAATACGGTAATTAAACGCTCAAAATGGCCAGAAAAAGAGAACTTTTATCTGAAACTCGACGGTCTATTCTTGTTCTTAGAAATGAAGGCTATTCTGTGCGAGAAATTGCTAAGAAATTGAAGATTTCCTACAACGGTGTGTACTACTCCCTTTAGAGGACAGCACAAACAGGCTCTAACCAGATTAGAAACCAGAGTGCACAACTGAGCAAGAAGACATGTACATTAGAGTCTCTAGTTTGAGAAACAGACGCCTTACAGGTCCCCAACTGGCATCTTCATTAAATAGTACCCTCAAAACACCAGTGTCAACATCTACAGTGAAGAGGCAGCTGTGGGATTCTGGGCTTCAGGGCAGAGTGGCAAAGAAAAAGCCATATCGGAGACTGGCCAATCAAAGAAAAAGATTAAGATGGGCAAAAGAACACAGACATTGGACAGAGGAAGACTGGAAAAAAGTGTTGTGGACAGATGAATCCAAGTTTGAGGTGTTTGGATCACAAAGAAGAACGTTTGTGAGACGCATAACAAATGAAAAGATGCTGGCAGAAGGCCTGACTCCATCTGTTAAGCATGGTGGAGGTAATGTGATGGTCTGGGGTTGCTTTGGTGCTGGTAAGGTGGGAGATTTGTACAGGGTAAAAGGGATTCTGAATAAGGAAGGCTATCACTCCATTTTGCAACGCCATGCCATACCCAGTGGACAGTGCTTGATTGGAGCAAATTTCATCCTACAATAGGAAAATGACCCTAAACACACCTCCAAATTGTGCAAGAACTATTTAGAGCAGAAGCAGGCAGCTGGTATTCTATCGGTAATGGAGTGGCCAGCGCAGTCACCAGATCTGAACCCCATTGAGCTGTTGTGGGAGCAGCTTGACCGTATGGTACGCAAGAAGTGCCCATCCAACCAATCCAACTTGTGGGAGCTGCTTCCGGAAGCGTGGGGTGCAATTTCTCCAGATTACCTCAACAAATTAACAGCTTGAATGCCAAAGGTCTGCAATGCTGTAATTATTGCAAATGGAAGATTATTTGACGAAAGCAAAGTTTGATGTAAAAAAAATCTTATTTCAAATACAAATCATTATTTCTAACCTTGTCAGTGTCTTGACTGTATTTTCCATTCATTTCACAAAGTATGGTGGTGAATAAGTGTGACCCCAAACTTTTGAACGGTAGTGTATATGCGTAAAAAATGTAATTATTCCAAGCAGTCTGATTTCTTTATTCCTGAGATGACTAAACTTTTTACAAACAATGAATAACAAAAAGTATTTGTGTAAATTATGTACCAGAACTCCATTGCAGACAAAAACATTCTTGAAATAACTACATATCAAATTAGGACTACATGGGATGTTTATATATTGATTATAAAGTTTGTGGCTGTGTGTACCGATTATTGCGTCCAAAGCAAGCGGACACTGTCTGAGCACTTCTTTGTAGCTTGTCACGGCAGAACGTTCCTGACCAGCTTTCTTGTAAAGGTTTGCCAGCATCATGTTGATCTGAGGACAAAAGAAGGGACAGCATCTAATTTGAGCATCTAATCTTTTCTGCTATATAAAAAATTATTTTTTTTTTTTCAAACATAAGCTATATACCATTTCTGTTATTGGTCTGCATTTCTGAAAAAACTGCTGAGGTAAGATGCTGTATTTTTAAGTAGATCAAGCTGAACTTTTCAGTGCCAAATTTTTGGAGGATAGCAACAAATTTAACTCCCCCCAGACAAAGACTGATATAGTCGTCTTCTCCTCTCTCCTTCCAACCTTTAACTATACGTTTTGATTGCCAACTTGTTGTCAGATTTGCCAGTTCATAATGATAACCTTTCGTTGCAAAGCTTACCAAGTGATGGAAACTCAATAGCTTAAGCTTTGTATGATTCAAACCATAAAAAGAATAATTTCAAGTGATGATGAGAGCTTTTAATGATTTAGCCTCAAATGATTCAACATGGCTCAAAAACTTGCGGAAACAACTTCGGCCCGGAAATACTTTTTGGCTTTAGTTATGCGCATCTCTTTGTGAGTCGAGACGCGTACATTTATTTTCTAAAAGGGGAACATTTATTAATATCAATACTACAAAAAATAAAAGGTGTTAGATCAGCAGATTATCCTCAACAAGTCAGATGTAGAAATGTATAATTTCACAAGCTGTACACAATCATAAAAGGCTGTTGTGGAAGGATGACAGCCCTGGCACTGCTGGAGAACACCGTCAATGGATAAATGCACAGAAAAGTTGTGCCAGATCTCACCAACCTGCTGGCACGAGATAATGCATAGCTTATATGGTGACCACAGAGAAACCAGGAGGAACCATGCATCACAGGTGTTGGTTTAACTACTCACTATGATTCTCTTTGCTATTGGAGAGCTGATTCCAAGATATGCTATTTAAGAGATTCTCAAGCCATCCGATATGCGACAGCCTCATGTTCCTGAGATGTTGTGTGCGGTGACACAAGCAGACACAGTTTCATACATCTGAATTCTGTGTGCCACCATTTTCATAATTCTATTCATTTAAGGGTACTTTATTATTTCCAAAGGGAAAATTACTTATTTATTCCATGCTGCAAGATTGCAGTATGACATACTCTTTTGTATACAGCGGGAAAAACACGCCAACATTTTTCTCAGTAAATATATTTCTAAAGGTGCTATTGACATGACATTTTCACCAGATGTCAGTAACAATCCATGTAATCGACACTTAAAAATAAATCAAAACATAGGTGTCTAGAGATTAAATTATGTGTAATAAATTGAAATGACTGGGAAAAGACATTGAACACACTTACTGAAATGTATTTAAAACATTCCAGTAAAAAGCCTTTGTCGGCAATGACAGCTTCAAGACAACCCATGTATAGAGAAATTAGTTGCATGTTCAGGTGTGATTTTGGCCCATTCTTCCACATAGACAGTCTTCAAGCTCTGATCTTTAGTTCTTTCCCAGATGTTCTATTGGATTTAAGTCAGGTGATTGGCTGGGCCATTCTAGAAGTTTCATTTTCTTTCTCTGAAACCAAGTATTCTTGGCTGTATGTTTGGGGTCATTGTCCTGCTGAAATGTCCACCCACGTGCAATCTTCATCATCATGGTAGATGGCAATTAGATCTTTATCAAGAGTGTGTATATTTCTTCATTCATCCTTCCTTCAATTATTTTATGTTTTGACAGTAGCATATGTTGAAAAACAGCCCCATGCCATGATGTTCCGACCTCTAAACTTCACAGTTGGTACAATGTTTTTGGGGTGATGTGCAGTGCCATTTAACCTAAAAAAAATATGTATAGTACTGCATCCAAAGATTCAATTTTGTTCTCATCTGGAAAGACAATAGTCTCCCATTATTTCAGAGGCTTGTCTAAATATTGTGCAGAAAACTTAAAACAAGCTTCAACATGCTTTTTCTCAGGAATGGAGTCCTGCGTGGTGAGCGTGCATACAGGCCACTGCGGTTAAGTGCATTACTTATTGTTTTGTTTGAAAAAATTCTAACTGTTAATCTTGGCTCTTGGACAACTCTTCTCATAATTATTATCTTCTAACAATTAATTTCACTTATCTGTGAGGAGCACCTGGACGTGGTCGGTTTATGGTGAAATTATGTTCTTTTCACTTTCCAATTATGGCCCTAACAGTGCCATCATTTAGGTTATGAAGGTCTTGATTAAGCTCTTTACTTTTACCCATCATGAGATGTTTCTTGTGATACCAGAGACACCATTTTATACTATAGGCCATCATTTGGGATTGAATAGACTGATAATTTGCAGTGACAAGGAGAAGGATTGCCTTCTAATTACTGAAAGATTTGGGCTGCTGTCTTGACTTTCCATGCATTTTTGCACCCGTCCCATTTTACTTTAAAACACATCACTTAATTTCTGGAAATCTATGGGTTGATTTCTTTCCATTAGTGGAATGCATGGGTCGTTACCGATAATCGGTGAAAATGTCATGTCAGCAGCACCTCTAGAAATATATTTACTGAGGAAAAATGGTGGCGTGTTCAATACTTATTTCACCTGCTGTATGTGGACCCTGGAGGGAAGCTTATGGTGTAAAGCAGGGGTGTCAAAGTCGTTCCAGAAAGGGCCGTGTGGCTGCTGGTTTTCTTTCCACCCAAGCAGTAGCACACCAGACTCCATTCATCCCATCAAGTCATCAGGTTAAGACTAGACTCACCTTGATGAGATGAATGGAGTCTGGTGTGCTACTGCTTGGGTGGAAAGAAAACCAGCAGCCACACGGCCCTTTCTGGAACAACTTTGACACCTGTGGTGTAAAGGTTGCATATGGTAAAAAGTAGATGAGGCCTTGTGAGATTGAGATACAGTGTTGGTACTAGGTCATGGTATTGCTCTGTATTGACATCTGCTGGATCTTAAACCTTGGTTTAAATACATCAAAGACACTGATTTGATGCCATATTGTAATAAAAAAAAAAAATTGAAATAAACAATAATTGAATTTATTGTATGTCGTGTTGTAATAGTCTAAGATAAAGTTTTACATTTTGTGTTATTCAAAAACCAACAGTGAATACATAAAGAACAACAGAGTATTAGGGTCAGGCCAGAATCTTTTTTTATTTTGACAATAAAGTTGTAACATCACGAGAATTAAGTCGTAATATTACAAGAATACAGTCGCAATAAAATGAGAGTTAAATCATCATAACACAACCCGTTTCAGAAAGAGAGCTTCAAGCTCCAACCAGCATATGACGGCCGACAAGCACCCCGAACAGGAACCTGAGTCCACTTTGTTGTAGTAAACATGTCATAATGTAAAAAAAAAAAAAAGAAAGTTTTCTGAATGTGATGTTTCTTATTGATTTGTCATTCTTGCAGGGATTTTTCTTTTACCAAAGACTTAATGTTTTGATACCTGAACCTCTCACTCTCAACAGAGAGTTTTTGGAGTGACTCACCCTGTTGACAGATCCGTATGTGCTACATTATAAAAACTAGGGATGTCCCAATGAAATATTGATATCGGAAAGCGGTCTAAATCAACCAATGAATGAATATAGGAATATATCGGCCATTCTCTAAAATCTCGGATATTAGAAAATTTACAGAAACACTTTCCTTTTATACGCTATTATTTAAAGTTTTTGTAAGTCTTTGGTAAAAAGAAATCATTCCGTTTTTCTCACACCTGATGTTAAAATCTTGTCCTCTAAGAAATACCACTTTGCCTATTCTATCATTCCACACTAAAGATAAAAGTATGTGTGCATAATGCTGATATAGGTCAAAACTCAACAATGCATTATTGGTATTGTATGCGAAATTACAAGTTGTAGTGGGACACCCCTAATAAAAACGGTCTGAAGCCTCGCTTTTAGCAAAAACAGCAGCTAAATTGATCACAGGTCTTTTTCTCAAACCGATTCAGGGTTTTGCTCTGAGCGCCACACATTCGCTGAGAAATTCTGTTGCTGAATCAACTATTAGCGGCATTTTTTTACTTAAAAAAAAATTAAGTTAGTCTTTGCAGTTTTAAACATAAAATAGGTATAAAAACAGTGACTTGGATTTAAAAAAAAAAAATTACTGTACCTTTGGAGTCCTTTGTCTTGATGGAATTCCATCAAGCACAGCAATAGCATCTTTGTCCAGTTTCAAAATGGTGTAACATTCAGCTATCTTATATTTCACCTCTATTTCTGATGGCATGCCCTGAAAGACAAATTTACAAGTTTCTAAGGACATGTAAAAGGACAAAAGTTGTAATAACCCTCCACACATTGGGTAGCCTATGACTCTAAACACATGAATACTGAAATGTTTGAACCTGAACAAGGTCAATAACACTCTGCAATACTTCAATAGGCCTCCTCCAAAGCCTGCAATAAGCTTTGGAAAACCACAATTACAGCCAATTTCAAGCAAATCTTGCAAATTTTCATCAAGTATGTAATTTAATAATTAGATGCTTTGTCCCTTCTGCTGTTCTACATAGGCCTGAACCCCCTCAGCCAAATTAATCAACAAACTGGAAATACAGGGTTAAAAATTTTAACTTCTAGTTGAGTAGAGTTAAGGTGGAGCAAACGATGCTGAGGATATAATTTCTGTATGGAGACGTTCCTTAGCAAACCAAAACCCAGCCTAGCACATCACCTCAGACAGAACGAGGTAAACCAAGTTATACATTTTTCTTAAGGTGCGTTCACTGAGAATGTGAATTTCACAGCATGAGCAAAGGGGTCCCATATTATCTGTATTCAGAAGGGTTGTCTGGAGCGAGGCGAAGCAAACTGTAGCAATGGTGGCAAATTTAGCAAAGCGAATGACACGATTGTCGCGTATTCAGCGAAATTTGATCGCCTCCACAAACGAAGTGAAGCAAAGTTTGCAGCTGCTCCCCGCAAAACGATTAAAATGCTGAATAAATCAGTTGTGAAGCAGATGACACTGGCCTTGTCAAAAAAAAAAAAAAAAGCGATCCCATATAAGAGAAAAAGTAAGACATGAGGGAAATCACAGATGCTTTATAATACATTATTTAAATGTTTATTAGATGCTCCAATACCTGTGATGTGGTCTTGATCAGAGGTTTAAAGGAAAATTCCGGTTTTTAACACTTTTAGCCCATTTTCTGTAGTGTCCAGGATGAAATCGAATGATCGACACCAAAATTTTGACAATTGGTCCTGTCTCTGCTATTTGGCTCATGCAGAATCCCCCCCTGGCTGCTTCAGAATGGCTTCCATAGTGCATGTCCGATAATGTCCTTAAAACAACCTTAAACGTTCTTTTTTTAAAATATGCTACCCACCGGGTCGTCAGCGCTGTTCAATGACGTTCCAAAAAAAGTTTCGTAAAGAAAAAACGTTCCTGTAGTGTTTTATTTAGCATTTTGTAAATCCCATTGAGTTCTGTTGGAATAGTCAATATCCCTCCGCCACCGGAAACGGAAATGGGGCCTGTTTACGCTTAGTTGTAGTCTTTTCGCAAGGCCCAAGTGTTTCTGCTTCACTCTGTGTACTCCGACGTCGAGGTGCTAACGTCTCTGTTAAACACTTTAAAAAACTCTGAAAATGGAATACGAAAGGTGGATTCTTGAGGAGGACATATTGGACTTTGAGTTTGACGGTAGAGGATACCGTCGCCAACTAGTGGTCTGGAGTGTGCAACGCTTCAGATTCGAACGGGAAGCGGAAGTTTATAAGCGGTTGTGATGTATCGGAAAAAATAGTTCTGGGATTTACAAAATGCTAAATAAAACAAGACAGGAACGGTTTTTCTTCACGAAACTTTTTTTGGAACGTCATTGAACAGCGCTGACGACCCGGTGAGTAGCATATTTAAAAAAAAGAACGTTTAAGGTTGTTTTAAGGACATTATCGGACATGCGCTATGGAAGCCATTCTGAAGCAGCCAGGGGGGGATTCTGCATGAGCCAAATAGCAGAGACAGGACCAATCATCAAAATTTTGGTGTCGATCATTCGATTTCATCCTGGACACTACAGAAAATGGGCTAAAAGTGTTAAAAACCGGAATTTTCCTTTAAGCATTTTTTTAAAGAGGAACACCATTTTTTTTTTTTTTTTACATTGGTAAAATAGATTTTAGTTTATGACATAATGTTCTACTCACCCATCAGTTTTGTGTCATTTGGAGCTATTCCGAAGATATTCGGTTTTGTAATCCAATCAACGTCTTCCCATGGGCTACGAGTTGAAGGCACAAACTAAACTGTTTATAATTTATTCTTTATGGCATGCCAGCATTCATGAGATCATCCATGCGCCGGACTGGAGTTGAGAGGCAGCCTGGGCCACAGGCGGCTACGCTCTACCCCTTATATTCGTTCGGCTAGCTAATCTGAATCGGTCAATTCCATTTCGAGAGCGAGATCATCTGTGGTAGCAGCACTAGACATCTTCTAGGCAAGTGAGTAAAACTAGCAGCATTTCAGCAGACAGGATGAATGAATGGTGGTTGGCGTGCATGAATGACTTCATACACACCCGCTTTGTTTTAAAAAAATACAAATATAAAAAATATACCCATGGATGTCTGGGGGACAGTGATTCGCCTACATGTTATGAATGCAAATGTTGTCGATTTTTAGAACTTTTTGTGCTTCTTTAAAATTCCCAGCAAGTAAAGATCAAGGGAAATAGTTTTGGGATGCTCTAATGGACAGTAAATCCACTTTTGTTTTTGTAATTTGAGGTCAATTTATTTTCATTCTGTTTTTTTTTTCTCCCCCTTTTTTATATATGCACAAAAGAGCTCATTATTTTACATTTTATCTAGTATTGTGTGTTTTTGATTTGTTTCCTGTTTGGTTGCTGGGATCTTGTTAATGGTCTAATACTGACACAGAAAGACATTATGTGGCAGTATCATTTGTGAAAAGCTTTGGGTTGATGAATGCATGTTATGCAATGTTTTTGAAGGTAATTTAAACATATTGTGATATATATAGTTCATTATGATTGTAAATAGGGCTGCAACAACGACTCGATAAAATCGATAAAAATCGATTTTTAAAAGCGTTGGCAACAAATTTTATCATCGCTTAGTTGTGTCGCGCGATTAATCCGTCATCCGCGGCCGCCGTCATCACATCCACTTGACTGAAACGGGGGAAGAAAAAAAAATACGGCAGAGCGAGCCAGCGCCGCAGGTGCAGTGTTGCCAACGCAGCGACTTTTCAGACCCCTCCAGCGACTATTTTTCAAAAAAGCGACTAGCGACAAATCTGGCGACTTTTTACGGTGTCACTGGCGGCTTTTGGAGACTCTTACGTGAAAGCATGTATCGTTCATACTCTGCCGTGGGGCGCCTCCCCCACCCCAACCCCGTTCTCCCGCGGGAGTCCCTCTCAGCGCTGCAGTCAGAGCCACAGGATGTTTACCCTCAGCGTCCAGACTGCAAAGTAAGCGCGCATGCGCCGGGATTGACGGCGCAAATTGATCAAAATAATTAAAATAACCTGCGCTTTGTAAAGTGAAAAAAGTCGTAACATGCAACTTTTGTCAAAACAAATTAACATGGCACGGAACCACCATGTTTGTTACGTTTTAAAGTGGGGAAACGTAACGTTAGTTTCTCAGGTAGCTCATCTGATGCTTTCCTTACCGTGTTAGTAGGTTACAGACAGTGATAAGGTTGGCTACTTATTTTACTTTTAATTTCATTTGAATCAGCTTAAGCAGCGTTTATATTTACTTTATAAATAAATTAACTTGCAAATTATGAGGGCAAGGTTTTTAAGGTTTAAATCTTCTGGCAAAGATAAAGTAAAGAAGATCCTGCAATTTATGGAAGTAAAGCAGAATAAAATCCAGCAAGATCAGTAATATGTCAATTAATTATATGCCACATTTCTATGTAAATATCTATGTTTGGAGTATGTGTTTTTTACCACCCCTAGTTCTCTCATTTTTATTCCAAATACAATTTATAATTTGAATCACAGGGCTATTTTAATCTCTATGCTTGAGTATTTTTCAAGTAGCAACTTTAACTGTTATACTTTCCTGTCTTAAAAGGCAGAACTCTTCTAGTCTAAAAAAACTCATTTGTTGAAATGGGGGGACCTATTGTTTGAACCCCTTAGGGACTTTAAAAAACAGAAATGTCTTTTTTTGCACTTTATGAAACAAAGTACCCTATATTTTGTGGATGTACAGGAACATTTCTCATGTAAGTTTACGTAGTTTTAACACAAACATTTATTTTTCATATTGCACCAGTGCAGTTAATGAGCAACCTGTACTTGTGTGCTTGCTTGTTCTGTCTAAAATTTTTTATTTTGGAATAAAGAGGTTAATATAAAAAATATTTTTTGTCTGATTCATCGATTAATTGAAAAAATAATCGGCCGATTCATCGATTTTTAAAATAATCGTTAGTTGCAGCCCTAATTATAACCCAAATGATATCATGATATTTGATTTTCTTCATATCGCCCAGCCCAAGATAAAGTAAAATTGGAAAGAAATTCTTTCATTAAAGCTTGCAATCAGCAGCTTGATGCTATATAGCAGAATTTTTGGATCCATGCTTCAAATCAGCAGTTGAGGATATATGGGAAATATAGGTTTTTCAGGGTGAATGGAGCTCACTTTGGCCTCTTTTCCTGAAACAGACAATGTGGCGGACCCTCCACCGCAAGACAAACAGAGGGTTAGTGTTTAAGGGCCACTTTGGGATTCAGCCCTACTGAACTTTCACACTGACCAGAAGAGGACCAAATTTATGTAAATCTAAATTAAGCTGCAGGCGTGAAGGCACCCTGAGGTTAATACATTTGATATTCATATACTGGTTGAGAATAATGAGACAATTTGTAGTTAAGTTAAATGTTCAATGATTCTAAATTTATTGAGAAGTTTAGACTATTTCATCCAGGCAGAACGCTGGTTTGCCATCTCATTTTAACCTTGCAAATTTCATGATCCTTTCACTTAAAAAGATCAGAATCAGTAGAAAACGGAATCAAAAAAAGAGTGATTTAAATTAAAATAATCCCCACAGACAGACTGTTATAAAGCATCAGTGTTATTAATTAGTTAAAGGCTTCCCCAGGTTTGATGTAAGACAGAGTGCTGCAGGAGAGCTTTCCAGCCAACAGCCATGAACATCTACAGAAGTTTAACAAACCCCTAGAACAAAAAACATTTAATATTTTTGGGATTAAAAAAAAAAAAAGTATTTCCAATTTTAACTACTAATTCTTGATCCACCTTTGAGACACGATTGCAATCATGCATTACCTAACCTAACTACAGCAATTTTAATGCAGTGGCAGTAAGATAAGAAAAAAGAAACAACCTGTGCCTGGATGTTGGCTGCAGCTCCACCAGTAGAGGTTCGAACTTTAGATGTTTTGTTGAGCACCTTCTTCTGTTGAAGTGCCATGCTGTATTTACAAGCAGCATTACGGTATTCCTTATCATAGAAGATTGCATCAGCATGGTAAACCAACAGCTGGTACTTCTGGGCTGGTGAGAAAAGGTCTCTGGAATCACAAATAATTAGCTGAGAATTAAACAATCGACAAGAAAACACACATTCACACGCATAAAGACGTGTGCGTGGTTGATATTAACATGCTCATGCTGATAAAAAAAAACATGTTCCGGTAGATATCAAATCATTTTATTCATATGCCAGTTAAATCATTTTTTTACTAACCTCTGTATCGCTAAATTATTTAATTAGGATTTTAATATCACGATAAAATATTATGATGGCTGAGTCAACAATTCAAATGGAAAACGTTATAAACTGGCGAGACACCATTACGTACTGCCGCTTACAGACTATTTGTTGGAACTACTTTCGTCTTGGTAGTTCTTATCGGCCTAATTACTTGACCTAATATTAAGCACTGTGGAGCTCACATTGATTGCGGTCAAACGTTGTTACCTAGTTCGCGTTAGGGAGATAAAGCATCACAGAATTGATTCGGAGACCATCGTCAGAGAATAGACGGGTCCCGAACTGAGGTTACTTACGGGTTGTTATTACTCATCGTCAGTAACAAACTGCTTAATAAGCGGACGTTAGAATAAAGGCCGGTTGCAGCCATATCCCGAACATGGTCCACTACATTCATTTTGGAGTAAAACAAGGGCTTGTTGAATCGGGTCCAGTTAAAGGTTTCTGTCAGCATAGAGCTAAAGACTGCTAGCATCTGAGGTATTAAATATGGCGCCGCATAGCTTCCTTCTTCTTCTTCTTTCTTCTTCTTCTTCTTCTTATTCTTCTGTTGTTTTATGGCGGATTGGCAGGCCAACGTAAAACGCCACCTACTGATCTGGAGTGTGGAGTGAACAATTTTGGAAGACTGCGCCCCCCCCCCCCCCAAAAAAAAAGAATCCTATAACTAAATCCTATTAATTGTTCCTGTATCTTTTAGATATTTGAATAATATTTCATTAACTCTTGTTTGTCTTATCTCGTTTCCTAACAATACTTTTATTGAATTCCCATTAATCCCTATTTTTCTCAACTCTTGTATGAACTTCATTCTCTCCCTTACATACGCAGTACACTCAAAAATAATATGTTGTACTGTTTCTGGATCTCCGCATTTGTCCCAATTTCCCGTTTCATGTTTCCCTATTTTAAAAAGACTGTAGTTTAATGCTGTGTGACCTATTCTTAGCCTTGAAATAATTATATCTTTTTTCCTATTTCCATATCTTTTCCTCTCCTTTCCAATAAACTTTTGAATCTGATATAAATGTCTTCCTTTTGACTCATTATTCCATATCGTTTGCCAATTCTTTTGAGTTTCAATTGTTATCGATGTTTTAATTTCTGATTTACTTAAAAATACATTAATTTCTATTTGCTGATGATTTAATGCTTTCTTTGCTAGCTTGTCCGCTTTCTCATTTCCATCTACACCCACATGTGCTGGCACCCAGAGAAAGTATACTAGTATTCTTAACTGCCTTATTCTAAATAGACTTTGCAATACTTCAAATATTAAATCTTGCCTAGTTTCAGATTTTCCATTTAGAAGACTATTTAGCGTAGCCATTGAGTCGGTACATATTACAGTTCTTAGTGGTTGAACTTCTTCGATCCACTGTAGTGCTAGTATGATAGCTAATACTTCAGTTGTAAATACTGACACATGATTAGATATTCTTTTTGCAATTTTTATTTTGAATGTCGGAATGTATACTGCTGCTGCTGTTCTTCCAGACTCTGGCTCCTTGGACCCATCTGTATATACCTGTAGAACTGAATAATATTCTTTACTTAAATGTTGTTGTACTATGATATCAGTTGGTATATTTTTTCCCCCGTTTTTTCATTATTTTTTGTATTTGTAAATCGATCATTGGTGTAGAAAACATCCAAGGGGGAATTGCCGGTATTGGAACAGTTGGGGTTATTACATAATCTTTCAAATTCAAACTGCTTGCCTCTTTCTTTACTACCCATCCAAAGCTTTTTATTTCGTTATATTCATATTCCCAACAATCTTTCAGAAGAAGTCTGACTGGATGATTTTCTTCATGTCCTTTTACACTAGCCCAATATCTCATTCTCAGCTGAGTCCTTCGTTGTTCAAGTGGCATTTCTCCCAATTCAACTAGTAGTGAAACTACTGGAGATGATCTAAATGCTCCACAACAAATACGTAAAGCCTGATTTTGTATAACTTCTATCTTAATAAGTAAGGTTTTATTCGCAGAACTATAAACTATACTAGCATAATCTATGTTTGACCTAATCACTGCATAATAAATTCTCCTGAAAGACTGACAGCTTGCTCCCCAATCAGCTCCTGACAAGCATCTTAACACATTTATTCCTTTTTTGCATTTTTCTATTAGTTTCAGAATATGGACTCCAAAACTTAATTTATAGTCCATCCACATACCTAAATATCTCACTACTTTCACTTGTTCCAGCAGGTAACCGTACATTTTGATATTCAAAGTAGGATTTTGTTTTTTATTTGAAAAGCATATTACTTGCGATTTCGCGACTGAGAACCTTTAAAACCCCAACTATCTGCCCATCTCTCCACCTCATTTACTGCATTTTGTATTTTATTTTCTACAAATGAAATATTACGTTCCCTTTTCCATAAAACTCCATCGTCTGCATACAATGACCTTCCTATTCCATTATTAATTTTGTAAAAAACGTCATTAATCATTAGATTAAATAGAATAGAGCTCACACTTCCCTGGGGAATTCCATTGTCAATTTTTAAAATCCCACTCTTACTTGAATTGTTCTTCCAAACAAAAAACTCGAAATCCAGTTATACATGTTGGGATCCAGAGCTTGCCCACCAGAGGGCGCCGAGGATCCCTTCTGGATTGTTTGTTCTTCTGTTGGGATCTGGGGTGCTGTCTACCTTCCTCCACCAGAGGGCGTACTGGATCTCCTGAACCTGGAGCTGCCTTCACCAGCTGACTCTCATCTGCTCATCAGGGGACCAGTACTTAAAGGAATAGTACACCCAAAACAT